ATAAATAAATATCGTTGAAGTTTATACTCACGTACTGTAATCCATGTAATCGATTGGAGTATTGATTAATTCATTATAAAATTATGATTTAATAAATAAATATCGTTAAAGTTTATACTCACGCCCTGTAATCCATGTAATCAATTGGAGTATTGATTAATTCATTATAAAATTATAATTTAATAAATAAATATCATTGAAGTTTATACTCACATACTGTAATTCATGTAATCAATTGGAGTATTGATTAATTCATTATAAAATTATAATTTGATAAATAAATATCATTGAAGTTTATACTCACAACCTGTAATTCATGTAATCGATTGAAGTATTGATTAATTCATTATAAAATTATAATTTGATAAATAAATATGGTTGAAGTTTATACTCACTCTCTGTAATTCATGTAATCGATTGGAGTATTGATTAATTCATTATAAAATTATAATTTGATATATAAATATCATTGAAGTTTATACTCACGACCTATAATTCACGTAATTGATTAGAGTATTGATTAATTCATTATAAAATTATAATTTGATAAATAAATATCGTTGAAGTTTATACTCACACCCTGTAATTCATGTAATCAATTGGAGTATTGATTAATTCATTATAAAATTATAATTTGATAAATAAATATCGTTGAAGTTTATACTCACGTACTGTAATCCATGTAATCGATTGGAGTATTGGTTAATTCATTATAAAATTATAATTTGATAAATAAATATCGTTGAGGTTTATACTCACACCCTGTAATTCATGTAATCAATTGGAGTATTGATTAATTCATTATAAAATTATAATTTAATAAATAAATATCGTTGAAGTTTATACTCACGTACTGTAATCCATGTAATCGATTGGAGTATTGATTAACTCATTATAAAATTATAAATTAATAAATAACTATCGTTGAAGTTTATACTCACGCTCTGTAATTCACGTAATCGATTGGAGTATTGGTTAATTCATTATAAACTTATAATTTAATAAATAAATATCGTTGAAGTTTATATTCACGTCCTGTAATTCATGTAATCGATTGGAGTATTGATTAATTCATTCTAAAACTATAATTTAATAAATAAATATCGTTGAAGTTTATACTCACGTACTGTAATCCATGTAATCGATTGGAGTATTGATTAATTCATTATAAAATTATAATTTGATAAATAAATATGGTTGAAGTTTATACTCACGCCCTGTAATTCATGTAATCGATTGGGGTATTGGTTTATTCATTATAAAATTATAATTTGATAAATAAATATCGTTGAAGTTTATACTCACGCCCTGTAATTCATGTAATCGATTGGAGTATTGATTAATTCATTATAAAATTACAATTTAATAAATAAATATCGTTGAAGTTTATACTCACATACTGTAATTCATGTAATCGATTGGAGTATTGATTAATTCATTAATAAATAAATATAATTTAATAAATAAATATAATTTAATAAATAAATATAATTTAATAAATAAATATCATTGAGGTTTATACTCACGTACTGTAATGCATGTAATCGATTGGAGTATTGATTAATTCATTATAAAATTATAATTTAATAAATAGATAATATTGAAACTAACCAGCTAAATAGTTAGAGTATTAATAATACAATAAATTATACGGTAGTTCACAAGGAACTCTGATTTGATTAAAGAAAATTGTTGAAATTTATGCTTACATCCTGTAATTTAAGAAATTAATAGAGATTGCTTTTGGTTTATCATACTGTATTATCATATAAATATTATTCGAAATTACACTCACAATCTGAAAATTCATATTGAAGTATTTATTAATTGTATTATGATGTATCACAGACTTAATAAATGTTGATATTTTATGCTTACCCTCTAACAATTCATAAACGTATCTGATTAACTTACTGTTTTATTATATTATAAAATCTTCAATTATGTTAAATAATAATGAATTTACACTCACCTCCTAGTAATTCATGTAATTGATAAAAGAATGTTATTTATACAATTATGGCAATGCAAATAAATTTTTAGATTGGTATATTACATACTAGCGATAGAAATGATTTTACTCCATCTTCATTCAGTACTTCTAGCTGTTTTCGTCTACTATCAATAATTTTCTTTGGAATCCCATATAAATATAATTGTGCTGCATGTTTCATCATTGGCTTAAATTGGTTATTTGGAGAAGTTAATTCATTTAAATCATTGATTTCTAAATTAAATATACAATATATATAAACAATGAAAGCCTAATACAAAAATTAATACTTCATTATTCAAATTTACCTTTGAAGTTCAAAAGCCTAGATATGCATTCTAAATTAATAAACAAATATATTAGTTAATAATGAAATTTATTATTCTTGAGCTAATCTTATAAAATACTTTTTAGAATTTCTTCGAGACTAGCACTAATCTTTTCTTCTCTTGAGGTTATGCTACATAAAAATTCTTCTCCTAAAATGATTAATTTGTGCAAAGAATTAATTAATAGCCATTATTTATAACATGATATTAATTGTTTATATTACATTACCAACAATTTTTTTGACTTATTTTAAAAGATCGTCTCTATTTTTCTGCTTATTTTCGTCCCATTTGTCCCATTTGTTTGCAATAATCATAATTGGATTTACATTAGCTACATAATTACTATCGGTGTTTATATATTCACGTGAAAGTTCGACTATTTTCTCTAATCCATCGGTTTGAGAAACATCGTAAACAAGTATAGCACCGTCAATATAACTATAATAAAGCACGATAAATAAAATTTATTATTCTCGCTCGGATAGCTTTATTATATGAAATAACATTACGGGAGTAGTGCTCTCCGCTGCAAGTCACGCA